AAATTTTTCTTCCTAAATATTTGCTTATCACAAATAAAAAGTGCTTAAAAATACGACAGCGAGTTGGAGATAAATTTTCTGATGTTCATGAAGGGTATGAAATCTTTGGCATAGCCGAAGACAGCGCTGTCCTTACTTATTTTATTTACGTTTTTAGCTTTTCACTTTTATCCATGTTATGTTTTTATTATGCTCATAATAATACATATATATGTATATGGCCTTTTGATTTAATACTTTTTAACAATATGTATTAACTTTTGCTTTGCTTCGAAACTTTTTTTATTTTTATTATTTTTTTTTTAATTTGCCTTTTATTTTGTCTCCTCATTTTTTACCAAAATAATCCATTTAAATTTGAAATTAAGCTACAAATTTTAAGTAGGAAATTAAATATCTGACTACTATGCATTACATCGATCAACCTACTAACAAACAATATGTATATTAATAGTTCATTTCACCAGCAATTTAAATGGAAAATGATTTTTTTATTTTCTGTCAATTTTCATATAAAAGTCCAAAAATTAAAATCATTTTTCACTCAAACGGCTTTCATGAAATTTACTGTACGAATCAATTCTTTAATCAGGCGAAAATTGAAAGCATGCGTGCCAAAAACAAGTTAAGTTAGGAATTTTGATGAAATATGCACTCCTTGACCAAAGAGGTTTATGGTCGTGACAATGTAGAGTTTCTACCCAATGCAAATTGAGATAAATCTAACAGCTAGACCATTGGTGGAATGTCGAAATTTTCTTGAAAAAACCCAGAGATTTCAAACATAAGGTATTGAATGAATTTCGAGCCTGCTGATACTGGCCGGTCTTGTAGACCTCTTAAGTTAGCGATTGTGGTGTGGTATGCCAAATAAATACGAGTATGGTTTTTATTCATCCATCGTAAGTAGTTTGATATTTTTGTAAAAGGTAGGCTTTAATACAAATGAAAAAAATACAAAAAATCTATTATTTTAATTTTTGCCTGTTAAAATTACCGTTTTTTGCAAATTTATATGAAAATGGCCTTGGAAAATGAATTGATCTAGAAAAATGGTATACAGATCCGTAATCTATGAGGCAAAATTAAGTTTAGGTGTCTCGGCGTTTTTTTTTTGTGTCATTTAGAGTCCACCGTGTTATTCATTTGTTTATCCTTAACAGTTTGAGCGATCTTACTTTGTATGACAGAAAATGTCCAACACCATCATCAAAAAAAAATTTACGGTAAGTCCTAACCACTTCAATCTTGCACAAATTGAATAGACGGCAAAACTGCATACTTAAAATATTTCTAAGAAATCTAACTGAAAAGCTTCGAAATTTTGCGAAGCTTTGTTGATTTTTTTTTATTGCACCAAGTTTGAAGCTTGTATGATTTTTCAATTAAAATCTTCGACAAGTGAACCAAATTGGAGCAGTTGATTAGCCGACAATATGTCCCTTTTTTACTAAACCAACAACATAGATCTGTGGAGCTAATCTGATACAAAAAGTTCATATACGATATACTTACAAATTTTTATCAATCAAGGAATACATATATAACATAGTCAGAAGGCTTTTTTGTCACCAGAAAGAACGAAACAGTTTCGAAATTCTCCCTCGTCATTTTTGAGACTAAAACTATTCTGAAAAGCTCTCTGAAAGTAAAAGCCTCAGACTGAAATAGCCTTACTAGCTTTCCTTTTTTAGGAGTTATTCGAGACAATATCAATCTTGTCACTGCAGACCATTTTTTTAACTGATTGTAAAGTGTATACCCTCTCCCTTACTAATATTTCTTTTTTCCATATATGCCCTCTTTGTTCTAGTATTTTTATGAAAAATAAGCTTGACCAAATTCAACAGGATAGTGAATTCCAATGCCGGTTCATGTCTGTATGTACGCTCATATGTCCACTAGCAACAACAGTGAATAGTAAATACAAAAAAAAACAAAAAATATTATCATACTCGTATTTAATTAATAAAATGCCCAATCGGTCAGGATTAATTAATGAACATCATTAAAGTTCAATAGTGAATATTGTTCAAACATTTAATTAAATTTAACACCTGTAAAATTATTGCATAATAATATACATAAATACAATGCTTAATATATACACATGCTCAAGTATACATATATTTTTTATTTTTTTTATCTGAACAAAGAAGTGTAAAAATAAATGTTTATTGATTTGTTGCTCTTTCACAGTGATGTCATTGTTTTTATATGCAAGTAAACAACGTAAAAAAGAAGAACAGTTCAAATTTAATTGGTGTATGCCAGTCAAATCCGAGGTGGTAATCTAGGTGCACGAAACCATTTCTTAACCCATTATGCGCCTGTCTTATGTATGAAGGCGGAAGGGGAATTTACGCACTCGAAAGCATGGGTTTATAGACCTGGAAGCCTTTGTTGGACTGTCATGGAGTTTTGTAAAGCGGAAATGCTACATGTGGATAAAAATTGAGGGAAACGTTCAAAGCCTTATGTTTAAAAATATCAACTAGTTAGTCAGGAGTTCTAAAGCATTCCAAAGCGTTAGAAGCCATGCCAATAAAAAAAGCCATTGGATTTATTACTACCGCTGGAAATTAGAGTATTGAAGCGTAAGTGCATAAGTGCATATGACCTTAATTTCACATTGCCCTGGTATATCGCTTCTCAATAGTACTGGCAACTAAGTACAGTGACTCAAACAAATGACCACGTGTTGATTTTCTTCTAATATTCGTAATGTTTTTAGAGACAAATTTTTTTTTTTGTTATTTTTATATAAAAATATCGTCTAAGCTTTAACGAAAACCATGTAAATCACGGTTTCAAACTTTATACAAAATTTAGGAGAATTCAACAAGCTTTCAGCAAAATTTCAACTTTTTGTTCTGAATTTTTAGAAGATTTTTGGGTATGCAGCTTTATAGCCCATACAATTTTAGTCTAATGAAGCGCACAAATTTCAAACGGCAAAAAAATCGAGTTGATTTTTGAGAATTCCGTCACCAAAAAAAAAAAATCTCTAAAGCACTTTACTGTCTTTCGAAAGACTAATTGGAAGATCTGCTAACGGGGAAGTCCTAGAGTTATGCTGTTCACCTTTTTGAAATAAGTTTTTTTTCTAATTTAATTAAATTAAAAAATATGTATACTTTTCTATTTAAAACAATAAAAAATTATAAATAAAAGAAAATTTAATTTAAAAAAAATGTAAGTAAATGAAATTATTTTTTTTCGTTTAAAAACAATAAAATTTAAAAATTTAACTAGAAAGAAAAAAATTAAATCAAAAAACTAGAAGCTAAAAATTAAAACAATTAAAAAGGATTTTTTTAGTTTTAAAGCATAATCTTAAAAGTAAAAGAAACTTACATTAAAAAAGACAAAGTATAAAATAAAAAATAAATAAATGAGATCCTAAAAATTAAATGAAATAAAAACATTACTTTTAAAACAAACAAAAATATATTAATTAGAAGAAAATGAAGTTAACAAAAGAAAAACAAATTAAATTCAAAAAAAGGAAAAAATTAATAAAATAATTTTCTAAAAACTAAATGAAATTAAAAAATTTACATTTTTCTCTTTTAAACAATAAAATCTAGAAATGTTAAGAAAATTAAATTAAAAAAAAAAGAAAAACAAGTTACAGAAAAAAAGAAAAGAAAAAGAAAAAATAAATCAAATATGTTTCTAAAAATTAAACCAAATTGATGAAGAAATGTGATGATCTTCAAATTAGCAGCTATAACTTCTGGCTTTGCAAATTATTATTTTTCCACAACATTTTTCATATGAAACGGCCTCAAACAAGCTCAATATCCTAAAAAAAGAATGGTTTTCTTTCCAAAATCTAAAAACTATAAAAAAATTAAACTAAAAAAATAATTTATAAATTTATAAAAAATAAAATATGTTCACAAAAATTATACAAAATAAAAATGTTCTTCATTTTAAACCAATTACATCTAAAAACAAAAGAAAATTAAATAAAGAAAGCAATACTTAGAAGAAAATGAAATTAACAAAAGAAAAACAAAAAGTACATGAATTCAAAACAAGAAAAAAATTTATAAAAGAATTTTTTATTAATTGAATGTAATTAAAAAATATATTTGTCTTTTTTAAACAATAAAATCTAAAAATGTAAAGAAAAGTAAATTAAAAAAGAAAAAGTAAATCAAATAAGTTTCTAAAAATTAAACCAAATTGATGAAGAAATGTGATGATCTTCAAATTAGCAGCTATAACTTCTGGCTTTGCAAATTATCATTTTTTTCTACAACATTTTTCATATAAAACCGCCTCAAGCTATGCATACAATATACTACATAAAAAAAAATATTTTTCTTTCTAAAATCTAAAAATTATAAGAAAATTAAACTAGAAAAGAAAAATAAAAATAGCTTGTAAATTTAAAAATAATAAGTTCACAAAAATTATATAAAATAAAAATGGTCTTCATTTTAAAGCAATTACATCTAAAAATAAAAGAAAATTAAATAAAAAAGCACAATATTTTTATAAAAAAAAAAGAGTCCATTGGCAGAGAACTTGAACTCAGATAACTCCAATGGCACTCCTGTGCTTCCTCACTTTTTCACACCACGAATGGTGAATGAGAGAGTTTTTTATTTTTGTGCTAGAATAACAATATTAATTGGTCTTGCGAAAGACTTTTTACTATTTTAGCCAGAATTGCCGTAACTCTGTTTTCAATGATAGATTGACATGCAATTTTCCTTTTGACCACACAGTTGCTTAATACCCACATTATTCCATGCTTACTTCACTTAACGAAAACACTTCGCAGGAATTGAGCCTCAACCTGCATAAAAACGGTCCTAGGCAAGCTCTAAAGAGGAAATAGCTTTAAGTTCGGATTTTCGGTGCCTCATTTGGACTTAGACAACTTTGGTTACATTGTATATTAATTTAAAAATATTAGATTTTTTTTATTAATTTTTCAAAGTTGCTAAATATTAACACAAATACGACTAATCACTTGCACGTACCTGATCAGTAAAGTTATCTGTGTGGAAGAGCACTTTAACATAGTTGGTCTCACTGATGAAAGTTTGTGGCTGCTCCGCCTCACCGCAAAACATGCCAGGCTCACGGCGATTCGAAACATCCGTTTTCGCATTGCCATCGACAATCTGTAATGGAAAAGTGAAATAAAATATATTTTAAGTATAAAATATAAAAACAAAAAGACAAAAAATAAAAAATAGCTCGGAGCGAAATTCGCAGCAAAGCACAAAACTTTAGGTGAAAAGGATGACATGAAATACCAATTTTGAAATAATTTACGTGCTGCTCAGCTGGCGGGCTGTGGCGAAAAAAAGAAAGTTTTAGTTACTTGTGTACTTGCTTACTTTGACTTATGCGCGTACATATTTTCAGTTTTATTTATTTTCAATTATCTCATCACACTTTTGCTTTTGACTGAGGATTTGATTTACTTCGTACAGGAAAACTTATCAGTATTGAGTTGTTTTTTTGTATTCATTTTTTTTTGGCGCTTTTTGTCTTTCGCTTTGAAGCACTCGCGCTTCATAGTGCAATATTGGGAATACAGAAAGGTAGCCGTTTGTGGGTGATATCCAAAGCCTTAGCGGGAATGTGAATGCTGCTGTAGCGCACCATTGCCCGCTGGATGCCATAAAGCATATGTTTTTATTTTTAGTTTCCGCGAACCCTGTCTATTGCCATTTCAGACTCATATGTCATCATTTACTCTTTCGAAAACATAATAAAAAACACATACGACACTCTGCACCAAACCCGCAACACAAAGTCGAGTGCAGTAAAGCAACCGCCGCAAAAACAAAATTCTTCGAAAAAGTGCCTTAGCCTACCAGCAGGCGCCAGGCCTTGCTGTGCGCCATATGTGCCTATAGAGTGCCATTCAGCGACAACCAGCTGCGTTGCTGCACTCCCACCGAGTTGAGTAACTCATAAATTACTGTTTTGTCCGGACAGACAAGGGGTCCAGTGCGTCGCTGCACCCTTGTCCGTTGCCATAAATCAGATTTCCCCATACAACACAAGCGCCTCGCCTCAAGTGCGCACTTCCAAGCATGTGTGTGTGTGTGTGTGCGCGTGCATATGAAGCGTTTGAAATTATTGCATGCCTTCAGGCGCACCAACGGCAAAACAAAAGCAATGAAAAGAGTGAAAAAAGCACGATTGAATGTCTTATTTGCGCACTGCATGCAATATGTTGGCGCTGGTGCGCGCAAAGCCTTTACAAAAAATAAAAATTAAAAAAAAATTGAAACCCTGTTTACTTGTGCGAAAATATTTGCAAAGGTATTTTTCATATTGGCCCTACACGCGAAAGTATGCTATAAATTGTGTTGAGTGCTTGCCCAAGTGTTTGCTGCGCTGTTGTGTCTGCTTCCGCTCGCTCAGTGCTTATACTACTTTCTGTGCACTCACCTGCAAATGGCCGCCCTCGCAGTGTGTTGCATTCAACAGCGTGCCAACTTTAAATTTTTTAAAACGCAACCGCAACACAAAGTCGCGCGGTGCACCCTTCAGCGTACGGAACCGGTACCAGCAGGTCAACGGCCGGCCCACATTTAGGTTATTCACCTCCGGCGAACTGACATCCTCGAAGATGTCCACTGTTTTGTTGCACTGATCCTTGGTTAGGTCCGCTGCACCGCTGCCTGCAATGAGTTGGAAAATGTGAAGAAGAAAAAAAAAACGAAAAGTTGAGTGGGTGTAGGCAAGTAGAAGTTAAAAGTGTGTAGCTAAACATACATACATAAGTACAGGTGAAAGTGTGAAATAGTCGTACATGAGAGGTTGATATAATTTTCGGAGTTTAAAAAATTTTCATTTGCATTTAGTTAGTTAATTGACTGTAAAAATAAGTTGGGAGTGTGTACCGTCGCAGGCGTTAAAATTCTTGAAGTAGAGATAATAAATTTTCTACATTCATTAGACACAAGAAAAATATTAAATAATTTTCTTATCTAAAAGCGTAAATGGATATATGTTTTAGGATAGAATAGATAGGTTAGGTTAGGATAGGTGATGCTCGCTGACCACTGGCAGTCTGACATAGACGAATATAACGTTCATAGCGTTGCCAGCTGCATTTACGACCTATGAATCAACGCTTTCACGCAATGTTAAATAACAATGCAGTTCATTTAGCAAGCAGTTCTTGTGATCCTTTGATTTTCCCCAATTGGAATCGGTATATTCGTTGTTAGTGAGGCGTCTGAGAGGTTGTCAGCTCTCATTACCTTCCACACCCCTATGTCTTGGGACTCAATATAGGTGGACGGTTTTAGCCACAGCGAGCCATCTCGTAGCCTCCCTACTGTCCGCCACGGTGATCGAATTTGTTTCATATGAAAGTGGAGCCTTAGTTTCCTTCCTTTATTGCAAAGACCTCGGCTTGATAGACACTTCCATGATCTGGTAGCCTAAAGGACCTCTGAATTACCGGTTCTGTGCAATATACTGCAGCCTCTACTCCTTCGTCGCTTTTAGACAAGCCTGTGTAGACTTCCATTGCGCTCCCTTTCTACTCCATGCCGGCGGTCTGGCCAGTATAAAAAAAATAAAATTAAGCATAAATACAAATGTCGTATTTTTTCGAATTTTCTAAAATTTCTAAGAAATCTGCGAAGTGTTTTCAATTAATCATTCTGAGTAAAATTTTTCCGAAAATTTAGAACTTTAGGTTTAGGCACAAAGTTAAATATATGTACAAAAATAGGCACTCTCCAATAACCGACGCTTGCCAATCAAATAGAAAACTGGATAAACTAATTGCCATACCACATAAAATTGCGGAAGTCTAAAATATGCATATCTCTAAAACTAAGTAGTTTAAAAGCAGGACAACATCTGTGAGGCGGCTTGGCTGCACGCCCAGGCAGCAACAGAGAAAGTTGTCAATAGATTGCTCCTCACTATTTCTTTTCATCGCGGCTGCCCCTGAAGAGAAAACTTCAGTGGAGTATCGGCGGAATAGCAGGGTGTCCTGTGATGATTCCTTTCACAACTTTTACTAAATAAAAGTTGTGTTTCATAAAGTTTTCAGTGCCTTTTTCCTATTACAAGGAAATCACAATGGCCTTGAAAGCTCACCACCATACTGTTTGGACCACAAGTCATTCGTAAGGCAATTTTCGCTAAGCGTTGGTCGTACAAAGTTTTCCGCCTTATTTTTTGCCACCTTAGCGCTACCCTGCTACACCTGTTCATCTCGTGAGCTGTTTCAATTTCCTCGTCATTTCTAAGTCCGATAACATAGAAAGAGTGATGTCGAGAAGGCCTTGTGATGCAAAAAACTGAACGACATTTCGGCCTAAACCTTGTTTTCACTACTTTGACCTCTGCTGCTTACTCAATCGCTGGGCCTTCGACGAAGGTAGGGGCTTTTTAGTAGAAGACTATCTACCTTGTTTGTAGCATAAACCTTATCATGCGAGGCGCTGTAGTTGTTTGGAAAAAGGAAGTACACAATGATCTGAGGTGCGTCGAGTTAGGACCAGCGCTGATTTCTGTCTATCTGAAACTGGTAAACCTAAATCATATTCTTCTCTGTACGGAAATCATATATTTAGTTATTCTTGTATGATAATTCTAAACCGACGTAAAATAGTCAAGATTTCTTCTTATTCAACTTGGATTCCATTGAGGGGGACTTTTTTTATCTCCCCTAGTGACCAAAGAAACCGGGTGCTTCGCAGTTGTACTGCTTTAAGATATTTAATCGCTGTGTCGCAGCTCAAAATCATGAAATAGCTATATATTATTCGGCACTAGCTAGCTGAGTCAGCTACTGATGTCAATCGCTTCGGCTAACCGATCGCAATCGTTCTCCGGTTCTAAATTTGTAAATGATTGCCCCTGCGATATAATTCTGACTTTGGAGCTTTCGCTAAATGCCTCGCGAATAACTACGCCTCTCTCTCTCTCTCTCTCTCTCTCTCTCTCTCTCTCTCTCTCTCTCTCCCTCTCTCCCTCTCTCCCTCTCTCCATAAAAAAAGTATGGACACTTAAAAAGAAATTGATCCAAACTTCTGGGATTTCGAAAGAACATCAGTTATCACTTCAGTTTATTTTTTTTGCTTCAGGTCTTCGCTATTTGCATACTTTTTGGCGCGAAGCTTTCTATGAGATTTAAGCTTTGTACTAACCGCATTTACTTGCCGTCCACCTTTTATTAAAATGCAATTTAAATATCTGAAAACTAAACTGCTTAATGTCAGTTGCGAGTATTTAAAAGTTTGCACAAATTATTATAAAAATGCAAGAAATTACAAAAATCTGTAGTCAGCGGCTTTCAAAGTTGCGCATTTTTCGCTCATTTTTTTTTATTTTTGTTGCTTTACAACACAACTTTTGGTTATTAAAACCTAACCTACTTGTCAGCCAACAATCAACAGTCAGCTGAAAAATTCCTTGCATACTTTTGTGCACATTGTACGCCTTTCTTGTTTGTCATTTTTTTATTATTATTATTAAAGGCGAAGCAGCGCACAAAAATTGCTGTTGGCTCCAAATGTCCAACTCATTTTGCCATATTATTACTCAAGCTTTCTGGCACAGCGTTTTTTTTTCTACATATTTGTGTTTTTGTGCGTTTTTTTGCCTGCAAATTCTATGAGCTCCATTTATTGTGGCGTTGCCAACCAGCTCATCATGATTTTTCACTTTGTCGAAAAGTGAGCGTTCGCTTTTCAGTGGTCGCTATAAAGCAAAGTGTAGAAAAAAGATTGAAAATAGTAATCGCTCCTTCTTCATCGTCTACAGCATTTTAGATATTTATTTTCATTCGAAAAAAAAATTAAAGAAAAAATTTTCTTCACTTTTCTCCCACTTCTCGGGCTAGTCACTGGCATTCCAGGCACTCAGCGTACGAGACTGCTATTTTACTTCAACTTCTCATTCTTCGTTTTCGACTCTCCTGTTCCACTCCTGCGTTGATGGACTTCATTATTGTCCTTAATTTATTTTACGGATTTTACAAATGAACAAAAGACCATTGTGCTGAATTTGTAATTCACGTTGGCGTCTTTTGTGTGACGATGAACACAAAACCGCGCGTCGCATTTACAAAACCACTACTAAGCTTCCACTACTCCAATTTTTTTTTTTGCAATTCTACTTCAAAACTTGAGTTGCTGCGTTCAGTTCTGGCTGCTCGAAATTGCACAAAGCTCCAACACAATTGTTGCTGGGGAAAAAAACGCGCATAGTAGCTAGGCAGCCGCTAGTTGCCTACGCTTTTGGCCAGATATTATGTCCGCCGCCATTTTCAATTTTTCTCTCGAACACTTCAAATAATACAAAGTCGCGTGTACTTCAAAATTTACAACGGCGAGTGAGTGATTATTTTTTCCGCTTTGCTTAGCATTGTATGGAGTTAAATTGAAATTGAAATTGCAAGGTGGGGAAGAATTTTATTCGTAGCAGGTATCAAAATGCAAAGCAATCAGCTTTTGGAATTATACTGAGTGTGGGGAAACCTAACGGAAAGGAGCGAAAAAATGCGAGTATTTGCTGTTAAAATACGGATTTTAAATTGCTTTGAGACATTTATGTTGAGTGGCTTTTAGAATACTGTTTTTTTTTTGAAGAATTACTTTCCAAATTTGTATATAATTAAATAATTCAAATAATTAAAATAAATTAAAAAATCATTTCTGTTAACAGCTTTGACGGAAGGCAATGCCGAGCATTGCAGCACTTCTTGTAAGAAATCTTCTCATAAAAAATGATTTGTCTTTCGGATGTGTTGTGAAATTGCAGATCACTTCATTTGTATGACCCCTCGAAGATAGTGATGCCAGGAATCGAGGAACCGAATCCGTAGAACTAGGTTCTTTAGAGCACCGAAAAACGGTCCCGGAAGAACCGAAACTCGAATCAAAAAGAACGGAAACACGATTTCAGAAGAACCGAAACTCGATTCCAGAAGAACCGAAAAAAGGTCCCGCAAGAACCGAAACTCGATTCCAAAAGAGCCGAAAACCGTTCCGGAAGAAAGAATTTCGATTCCAAAAGAACCGAAAAACGGTTCCGAAAGAACTGGAAAATTATCTGAGAGTAACCGAAAAAATAAGTAAAACGAACTGAGAAACCATTCCAGAACAATCGAAAATGGTTCCTACAGAACCGAAAATCGGCCACGTAGCGGTCATTGCACTATGGGCAAACAATTTATTGTTTTGACATAAAGTCTAAAACAAATAGAGATATCAGGCCGGAATTCGGTTTAGGTATGTACTGTTGACTTTTGTGTTGACCAACAAAGTTTTAATCGGTTAAAGGGACTATATGATATAGCCACCATATATATACCAGATCTGGCAGACTTACATCAACAACTTCATTGTTTTTGATGCTATCGACTTGAAAACCAATTTTTAAGAAATTTTTATGACAATTTTGTCGAAATCTTGTACAAATTTTGAAAGCTGGAGTTATGAGGTTTTTGGTTAAAGATTTATAAAAAAAATACAAAGGAACTTTAGCTAGAAAAACATTGTAAATATTAAAAACAAAATACCATTCATCCAGTTTTGACCGCCAGTGTATGTGCGCCTTGTCATTCATACATCTTTTCGTTGGAACAGAAATGGCGAGTATTCGAAAAGCTAATCTACGGTAAATTTGACTGCAAGAAACTCGCAAACTTCTT